CTTACCTCATACAATGTCATTTATTGATATTTCACCAAAATTTTAGAAATGAGTAAAACTTCTGAGAAGATAAAGATGGACGACGAGGGTTAATATTGGTTACCTTTCTTCCTTCACTCAACTTTTGCCTCACTATTTGGCCCAGAGTTGGCTACAAGGAAAAGATATGAGCGGAATATATTAAAAGTGTGTCATGTGAATGGAATAAAATTGAAAAAGCAGGACAAGATATCGGCAATAATTTGAGCTCTTACCTTGACTGGTTGGAAGAATTCATCAACAACATTTTGCGCTCGTAAATCCTCTGAAGATGAACAATCTCCAGAAGATATTAATTGTGCATTTGAATTTAACCCAACACTAGAAGTAGAGCTGCTAGGTGCAGGCATTTGCCTTTTAGATTGCCGTCTCTGATGTCCATTAGGTGATCTCAACAGCCTCCATGTAAAAACTATTGCAACAGCAAATCCAGCAATAGCCCCAACAGATCGTGAATCCTGATAAAATTTCAAAGACTTATTTACATACCATATTACTCTTAGAAGCCAACAGCATAAAAAGTATTCAAGTTATTTAAACCAAAACAGAAAGTGAATTGAGCTATTGTTTTGGCTAAGACGTTTTGTTTATCTTTTCTTTGGGTTTTATGGACACCCAAATGAAAAGAAAAAATGAGGCTGAAAATCTGGTTTCCTAACACGGAGCTTGATATCTCGGTGCTAAAAGTTCCAAAGACTAGAGTCCATTAAGAAGCTCAAAGAATCTTCGACATTGTTTCCTTTTTAATCTAATTTTTCCATAAGGACTCAACACTTCAATGCTGACTATATCTTTGTGGGAGAAATATTTCGAGTAACAATTGAAAGAATCGCCAATTGGCATGGGCCTACATATGATAATTGAACACAATATAATATCTTCGAAGCATGAGTACTGCAGAATAAAAGCAATATTTTTTCATCATTTGTCAGAGTGTTGAATTATTGAATACAAAAATGAAAATCGAATAACAGAAACCATTAACCATGTGATTGAAGCATATAATTTACAAGAAAGTAGTCCACAGCTCGAACAAAAAAGGGTTAAGAAATGAACAGAACACACAAGTAAGCAAAAGAAGAGTAAAAAGAAAAGGCTAAAACAGAAATTGGAACCTAAAAGCTGTCAGATCTATCGAAAAACGAAGAGACGAAGAAAAAACAGGGTTAGAGATTACGAACCAGATTGTAGAGAGAGATAGGGAGGAAATTAGAGATCTTGAGAGTGAGATAAGCCCCGAAGCGCTTGATCAGCTGGAGTAGGTCGTCTTTGGAAGAAGCTTCGGCCATGGGGAACACAAAAACCTCGCGACTTGAGCTTCTGAAAAATTGGCGCGCCCAGCAGAAGAAGGAAGCGGATAGAAGAATCGAAATGGAATTATTGAGGCGTCAAAGTTAGTTGAGCAGTAGAGGGATTTGGAAGCAGAAGAAGGAAGCGAGCTATGGCGTCAATGGCTGATACTGATGTTGAAATGTTAATGAGGTTCCCTATTTTTTCCTGTCGCCCACACGGGAAAGGGAAAGAGAGAGGACATGGTGAATTCGTGTTATATATGGGCTTTTCCATATTGGGCTTCCCACAAATTCGCTTCTAAATTTTAAATTTGGGTTTAATTACCAATTTTATCCTTCCTTTTTCATATATATTTTCAATGTATTTGTAAATAAACGCAAAATAATAATAATAATATTATTATTATTCTGATCCGGAAACATTCCTTCTAAGGGCATATAAATTTTTAGTTACAAGACTCGTTTTTAAAAACCTTGAGGAGAAGAGGGAAAGCCCAAATACGACAATATCTGTTTTTATAATGTGTGGAAAATTTTCGACTACTAGATACGTTTTAAAAACTTTGGGGAGAATCTCGAAAGGGAAAGTCCAAATAGGATCATATCTAGTCATCGGACGGTATGCCCACGTGAAGACGCTGGCTTTAAAAGGGATGGGTTGTGAGAGCTCATATGAGTTCGAGGGGAGAACTAAGCCTCAATGGTGGTGGGTTTTAGCTGTTGTAAATAATCGTGAATGCTATAACTAATTTAAGATCGTAATTAGAAATGTTTCACCGTAGTCAACACAGTCTTTCAACCCTCTACAACTATTCGTTATGATTAAATACATCCCTCTCTGTGTCTATGTTTTAAATTTTAATTAACTCATTTGGTTCTTTTGAGTAAAGTGAATGAGTTTTAAGCTAATCTTTACAACCAAATCAAGTTGTCAAGCACGTTAGAGGCAATATGACACTGGTAACAATAAGCTTATAAACAGTCAAGAAAATAAGGAGTGCGTAGTGTGTAGATAGATCAACATGTCGATATAAACAAATCCAAATGTAAGGCAACGATTAGATTCGGTGTATTTGTAAATTCTCTATTAATACTTTAATATAGTGAAGGTAGACGCTCGAACTCCATGGAAGATAACTCAACTTCTTAAGGAGCCATTTATGTCACGAAGGCCAATATGATGAGTACTATTGGTTGTTACAAGTCCTCGTTTAACACTTCTTTTATATATATATATATTTTATCGTCATTAAAAGTACCTAATTTTTTAAATTTTTAATTACTCATACTAATTAGTATAGGCTTCAACTCATTATAATTTGACAGGTTAATTATGTTTTTATTATAAGAGATTTATTTAAAAAAAAACAAAAACATAATGCAATTCTAATGTGAAATTAAATTTTTTTTAACTTTAAATATTTAATTGAAAAAACCTTAGTAAGATAGATTTAATTTAATTTTTTGTAGTACAAGAAACAAAATGATAATTATTTCATGATTCGACCGAGCCTCAAATTAAATTTTGCGAAAATGGAAAAAAAATCTCTAAATTTTGAATACTTACATAAACATAATTAACATAAAACTTGTATAAATTAAAAATAAGTGAATATAAAATTAAAAAATTTATTAGATATTTGAACAAACATAAAAAAAAATATAAAAATTTAGAAATTAAATGACTTGATTGGCACCACCAAATGAGCGTTGATAGACGAAATAACATCTAATATCAATAATTTCTATTCTCAAGTTCATCTCAATTAAGAGAGTGAGACAAACTATGATAAGTCAAAGTACGTATCATAGGATTGTAAAATTTTGATTTTAAAAATCTAAAATTTATTCTAAAAAAATCATTAAAATAAAAAGGAAAACAGAAATACCAAATATCAGTTAGATCTTAAATGGAAAATATCGTTTAAAGCAGCAGCCAATGCGAAGACAGAAATGACACGTCATTCACGAATCCCACCACAAAATTAAAAAAAAAAAATAAAAAAAAATAAAAGAAAGGGAGTAGATAAAGGAAAGTTACAGATATAGACTGATCCGAGATCCGGAGTTCTCAAAGTCCGGCCCATAAAACTGCTGATATGTCGGCTGACGTGTAAAACAGTTTGTGACGCATTTGAAAACTAGACCCTACACGTCATCATCTATCGATATTTAGGATGGAAGGAAGCCACTTGTCGGATATGAGTAATAGTGAAACACAAAAAGTAAATAAATAATTAAAAAAAATGGAGCAAAAATTCAGCTTCTCCCAAAACCAAATATAAAGCAGTTATTTTCCTACAACTTTACAGATACTGGCTCTCTTCTTCTTCTTCTTCATCGTCAACAAACTGGTTTAGTTGCTGCCATTAATGGAGTATTGCTTCCTTCATCTGGTCGGATTGCTCGGATTGCTCTCCCAAATTCTCGATTGGTGTTGGATATTTCTTTTCTATTAGGTATCATTCTTTTCCTCATTTTCCATTCTATTTTTTCTGGTTAAATTGAAAAAGTGTTGGTTCGTGAGCCATTAGCCATTCCTTTTATGTTTTCTTCGTCACTGTCACTCTTTGTTGTAAAATTAAAAAAATGGTCGAACTCTGTTTAGTTTTTAAAAATTTAGATTCAATTCATTCTTGAGTCCTTTTGTTTTCGTTTTTTAAAATTTCGATTCAATTCATCCTTGAATCATTTGTTCTACATTCTTTCCCGTCTCATCTTCTATTTTGTTTTCTAAAATTAGAAAATGTGTTGTCTTCTATTTTGTTTTCTAAAATTAAAATAGGGTTTGTTCCTCTAGTTTTTAAGAGTTCAAAGCCTTTAGTTTCTAAGAGTTTAAAGGTTTCTTTCATTCTTGAGTCATTATTTTTTTTTAAATTATAAAAATGGCTGACTATGTTACTTTTAAAAATTTAGTTTCTGTTCATTATTGAATTTTGTTCAACATAAACAGTCTGGGTTAGTTTCCGTTCGTTATTGAGTCATTTGTTCAACATTCTTTTAACTGTGGATAACAGTTTTATCTGGTAACTTTTTTGAACTTCTTTTTTTATAAATATTATTTCTTAAATTCTTTAAAAAAAATTCAACCCTTCAAACCTTATATTTTAACAGCTTTTTACTCGGTTGAACTTTTAATTTTATATTAATAAGAGAGATATATATACTTTTTAAACTAAACCTCTTAATTATAAAAATTTAAAATATATTATTAAGCTTTTTATTTATTTTTTATTTTTTTCAAAATAACCTTGGTTGTACAGAAATTTAGTAAGCTATTAAAAAATATTTTTTATCTTCGTTAAACTTTTAATTTTATATTAATATTTAAATAAAAAAAAGAGATATATATACTTTTAAAATAAGCCGCCTAATTATAATAGTTTAAAATATATTATTAAGCTTTTTATTTATTTTTTATTTTTTTCAAAATAAGGTTGTACAGAAATATGAAGGAAGGGATATTTCAGGCATCGACAGCAAAATTATGAGACAGGTCAGCATAAAATAGATTCTATATGCAGTAAATAATAATAATAGAATAAAATTACATAGAAATGAAAGTAAATTTTACTGTGTTTCTAGTTTCATTTAGAAATAAAATAAATAAATAAATAAAAAGAAAATTATAATCGTAAATTTTGGTTGAAGGATTGAAACGGAGAGGGGTAAATATGGAACCTCAGTGCTGCGAGTTCTGTGGAGTGGAGAAAGCGATTGTTTACTGTAAATCTGATTCGGCGCGTCTCTGTTTGCATTGCGATTACATCGTTCATTCTGCTAATTCATTATCACGACGCCATCTTCGATCGTTGCTGTGCGACAAGTGCAATGCTCACCCTGCCATTCTGCGCTGTATGGATGATAAAGTCTCCCTCTGTCAGGGCTGTGACTGGAGCGCCGATGATTGTTCTTCCCTTCCCCAACGCACTCACCTTCTTCATTCTTACACTGGTTCCCCTTCCACGTCTGAGTTCTCCAGGATTTGTACTTCCCTTCTCGATTCCACTTCTTGTACCACTGCCTTCGACGCCACCGCTGATTGGACCTCGCTTACGACGCCTTATGTTATTGCCGATTCCATCGATTTGACGGACGTTGAAGCTCCCTCTGCCGCTGAAAATTTGAATGACGTTCAAACTTGCTCTAAGTTTGAGACCTGGATCGCCGATCCTGCTTCTGCGTCTCCTGAGAATCCTTCTTATCAACCGGATTTTCTTTCCGATGACTCGAATCCTCCAAAGGTAGGGTTATGTACTCTTTTATTATTTTATATTTATATATATATATATATATATATATATATATTTTTAAAAACTAATTCTATCTCGTCGAGCAGTTTATTGCAGATCTGGTTTGATCCAATTCTGATGTGTTTTGTGTATGATTTTGCGATTTTAAGGATGCTGAAACCAATGAAAATAATGATATATGTGAGAGTCTTAATCTTGGCGATCTTTCTCTCCACTTGGAAAATGGGGAAGGGTTGTTTGACTCTCCGAAAGATACAATGAAATTCGAGTTTGATGCTGGAGAATTGGAGTGTCTTCTAATTGACAGAAACTTTCCGGTCACTGAATCTAATGTTCCTGTTGAGGACACTATCGAGGTATGTATGATATAAACTTTTGTATATTTCAAGCAAGCATCGTAGGCCCGTAATGGCTCCATTGCATCATTTGGATTACTGAAAACACGTGTATGATCTCGGTTGTGCAAAGTTTTCAGGATTTGATACATCACTAATAGTAGCTTTCGTTTTAATTTTAATTTAGGCCTCAGATTATACGGGATTTCAATCATCTGAAGTCGATATTTCCATGAACATGATTCGAAACGGCAATTCAAATTGCACGCTTATAAATCCTAGTTGCAAAGGAAATTTCAACATTGGATTTCCTGCTGCTCAGGTTCATTCAAGTATATCAGTTTCACTGTCAAATATCACTGGCGAAAGCAGTGGTGCAGATTATCAAGACTGTGGTTTATCGCCGGCGTTTTTGACTGAAACCTCATGGGATCCTAGCATGGAAGCTATTGGTCCACTAGCAAAGGATCGGAATAGGGATAAAGCTAAGATGAGATACAATGAAAAGAAGAAAACAAGAACGTACGTATCATTTTTTGCAAGAATAAGCAATTGTCGTCCAATTACCATCATTTGCATTCATCAATTTAGAGTAACCATTCAGTAAGGTATCTTCAATCATCTTCATGACTTTGCAGTGTCATTATCTGGCATTTTATTGTTGAAAACTGGAACCTAATATGCCCCATTTTGATAAGAGACGGTTTTTTAATCATTCTACTGATGGTATTTGCACCTCCTTCGTAATCAGATTTGGAAAGCAAATAAGATACGCATCTCGCAAAGCCAGAGCTGATACTAGAAAAAGGGTTAAAGGTCGATTCGTGAAAGCAGGCGAAGCCTATGACTACGATCCTCTCGTGACAAGAAACTTTTGAGCTATGATAAACAATTTCAGCTCCTAATTCCAAAACATATGTCATATTGAACAAGGTATTCTTTGCTCTATACTGAATCTCTCTGGTTTATAATTCATTGAAAATGTAAAATGTCTTTTAGCCATATAAATTTTTGTCCTAGGCATTCAATCATGGTCCTTGGCCCTCTTCCTCAAATCTGGCAAAGGGTGTTGAGTTTCTTGTATCTGTGGCCAAATTCACGTCCTTGCAGGCAATACACATACCCCTTCTCAATTAAGACATAGAATATGGGGTTTTTGATTTTAGATGCAAATGAATGGATTGAAAGTAGTGAAAACAAACCGATAATCTTGCAATGTCCATCTTGTTGTTACACGATAGCGCATTTCAATACATGTGATTCCATCATATTTTATACTTCACAGGTTGTAGATAAAGATGTAGCCATAGCCAGTACAGCTTTATAATCGACAGATAGTATCAGCGATAATTTTGTCCATACAGCAGTGACTCTAAATTGCCCTGAAGAGGTTGGCATTTTCTTTCTTTCTTTCTTGTAAAATGGGCTAATTACTTTCGTATGAAATTTTGTTGCTCTCTCGTGTTTGTTTAATAATGTTCTGTTTGCCTCTTCATTTCCATTGCAGCAATGGTGAAAATTTTTCAGATAGGAGGAAACAAGTGGTAAAAATCTTGAAGGACAACATTGTTATATGATGATTTAGCCTCTTGCCTTTGCACCCACGCAATTCAATGGTCAATAGGCAGAGCTACAACCCAATTTTTTTTCGTTAGTACATAAATAAGATTATTCTGTTTTCACTCCCGCGTAATCTGTTTTGGTCACTTTTGGAAGAGTTCATAGTCTGAGAGTATAACAAAAACAATTTTGGTTCTTAGTATATAACTCCACTCTCTTTTATTCAGTTACTAATCTTTGCATTTTGTGCTCAGAAAACACCAGCCAGAGAAATTTTCCAGCAAACATCGACTGAAACCTCTGACAGCGATTTGTTTCTAACATGTTTCTTCTATTATCTTCTTTTAGAAACCTTGTTAATATCACAGCCAGAGAGATTTCTTTCACAGCCACCATTGATTCAAATTAGAAGACATATTTTCATGAGACAGTAACTTGGGGTTGCAAAAAACAAGCAAATGAAGAAGAATTCCAGTATGAGTCTGGTTTGCAGACTGAAAGTTGAAGATCAGAGAGAGAGAGAGAGAGATGAAAAGATACTAAGATTCACAAAAAGAGAACAGGCGTTTTGAGCCTTACAGAACAACATGTGCTAAGATTGCGATTGTCGTTGCAGTCATTAGGAGGTTGGTTGCAGGTGACGATGGTGGGGAGAAGGACCTGAGTAGAGGTTCCCATGAGGTATTTATGGGTAAGGTTTTGGCAAACATCGCAGAGAATGCACCTAATATGCCTGAGAGCTAAGAAATTAGCACCATGAACCCACTTGTCACATTTCCTACATAAATAAGCATCATCCGCTTGGCAGTACAATGAAGCCCTCGAGTCACAGAGCTCGCACATCACCACCGCACCCTCCGCCGAATCACCACCCTTCTCAGCCACCGAAAACTCCCGGCAACCACCGCGGCTCCTCTGTTCCACCACCCCTCTGCACATTGCTTCTTCTTCTTCTTCTTCTTCTGAATCTAAATGTAAATGTGGCATGCCACCATAAGGCTTATATATATATATATATATAGATAGCAGAATGACGTATTTGCCACTACTTGACAAACCCATGGTGTAAATCACCATCATTTATTTCCACACACTTGTATAGATGAAGCAATACCCCATTTGCTTTCACAAAAATGGGTAATTGAGAAAAAGTAAATTGAATCGAGAGGAAGTGAATAATGGCGTAAACAGAGGAAGAAAGAAAGTGAGTGGCTTAGAATGAATGCTCTTAAAAAGCTAGAGACCCCACACAAATACAAGAAGAAGAAGATTGGAGTGAGGGCAAAATTGGAAATACACACACACACATATATATATGGATATTGGATTGGAAGGGAAGTGGTTGTCCACAAATTGATTTAGTGTTGAAATGAAAAGCCAGATGTGTGGATGAGACATAAATACAAAGAAAGAAGAAATATATATATATATATATATATATATATATATATATATATATATATATATATATATATATATATATATATATATATATATATATATATATATATA